GTCCATACAGTACTCTCATCTCGTCTCGTTTCAGTCATAGAAGCTAGATCAGATCACCCGGTCGGTGGTGTCGATTTGCGACCGAGTCAGCCGAGACAGCTTGGCTTGGGTAACCTGCCGGCCCTGTATGGGGCCACGGTGATACATGGATGGGTGTTGGATCTTGGTGCTCAATATCGCGAGCTCCCATACCCGCCGCCATAGCCACCACCACCTCCATATCCCTGGTTCTGGCGTCTGTTATCGTCATCATCATAATCATCACCACCATGTCGACGTCGACCTTCGTGGCCGCCGTAGCCTTCGCTCTGGCCGTATTCATCTCGTCGTCCGAAGCCGCCGCCACCACCACCGCCTCCGTATCCGCTGTCGCCACCCCCACCGTACCCATCGTCGCGACGGCTCGAGGATGAATACTGGTCTTGTCGGCTATCGCCAAAGCCGCCAGGCATGTCTCCGTAGGAGGACTGCTGCTGTTCTTGTTGACGACGACCGTATCCGCCACCGCCGCCGCCTCCACCATAGCCGGAACCATAGGTCGACTCTTCCTGGCGACGCCCCCCTCCGTAGCCGCTAGACTCGTATCGTGATTCTTCCTCCCTATGACCATAACCGCTGGAACCACCATACGTCGTCGATTCTTCTTGGCGCCGACCACCATATCCACCTCCACCCGCTCCAGAGGAGTACTCGTCGCGGCGCTGCTCCTGGCGGCCGTAGCCGGAGCCATACTGGTTATTGTCATCGTTGCGCCCGCCATATTGGCGCTCTTCGTGGCGTCCATAGCCTTCAGAGCTGCGACCACCGCCGTAACCGGAGCTTTCTGTCTCGTACTGTTGGCGTCTGCCGCTGCCGCTGCCGCCGTAAGCATCCGTAGAGTAAGGCTTGTCGTCTCGATCACGACGTTGTTTGCGGCGATCGTCATCACTGTCATCACTTTTATGTCCGTGGTGTTTTTCACGACGATGCTTGTCACGACGTTCATCTTTGGAGCTGTCGCTGTCGTCATCCTTGTCGCGCTTGTCGCCATAGCGTCTGTCAGATAGCATGTTAGCTCCGAACCATTGTCCTCTCGTGTCGCCTTTGCTGAAGCCGTGGCTTGTACATACCTTGTCTCTTCGTGATACCTGCCCTCGCTTGTCCGCTCCTGATGGTGCACCTCGCTCTGCCATCCGCCGCTCGCGGTCTCGCGCTGCTCAAAACGATTGTACTCCTCATGGCGTCTCTGGCCGCTAGGCTCAGTGGTTCTCGAGTATTGGGCTTGGCCATACCTATCGCCTGAGGATGACTGACCAAACTGCGTCACAGTCTCTGTGCGGGACCCATCCTGACGGCTGTAGGAATCGCGCTTATACGTCTCTTGACCCTGGTTGAGTCCGCCGCCGAGGATGTCGCCACCGATCTGTCCACTGATTTGACTCGTAAGACCGCCAACCAGGGAACCTAGGACGCCACCGCCGACCGCTGCGCCTGCCATTTTTCCGAGCTGGTCGCTTTGTCTAGAGACATTGGGTGGCCGGCCGCCGCCGCTCTGACCCCCACCTCCACCCAAGGCAGAACTAATGGCCCCAAGAGCACCGCCTGCAACGCCGGATTGATTTGAGTTGAAGTTGAGATTTGCCATGCCAAGAGGCCGGTTGTTTCCATGTCCGTGGTCCTTAACCCCGGGCTTATGGTTTCGACCCGTCTCGACGCCACGACGATTGAGTTGTTCGCGTAGCCCATCCTTTTCAGAGGAAGACTTCCCGCGCCACCATTCCTCAACAACGCCAAACATGAGTCGACGGCCGTCACTAGCGCCATCCTGCCCATAGTCCCGCAAGGCAGGGTGGTGTAGAACGCCGGATATTATGCGATTCAGGGTTCGTTCGATGTCAATTCGTTCATCGTCCCAGCACGCAACGATCTGTGGGACCACCCACTTCACGGTTTGATGAGCCACCTTCCCCGCGGGTTCGTTGAGAATGTTGGAGAAGTGATCCTTTGAAAGCATAGAGTGGGTTGGGTCCGAGGAATTGTCGTCGTTAAAGACAATGTGCTGCTGAGCGACACTGGACTGGATGATCTCGTTGGAGCCCGTGTTGAGTTCGTTCTTGACTTGGTTGATGATGGGTACGACGAAAGGAGCCAGCAGGCTGAACACAAATTTATTGATTTCCTCCTGAATTTGATCGATCAGGTCAGGCAAGATTGGGATCTTCTCAATCGTTTCGGCGATGGACTTCATGATATCATCGTGCCATTCGATAATTGGGTAAATTTGCTTCTGCACGTCTGCGAGGTAACGAGCCCATTGTTCTGGTTGACGCGGAGTAATCCTGGAGTTTTGCATTTGTTGGTTCAGAGCATTTTGTTTCAGTTCATTGGCTTTGCCCGCTTGGTCCTTTCCACCGAATACTCCGGAAGGCAGCTTATTGAGGAGATCTTGCAGAATGCTATTGTCTTGGTTCCCACTTTGGTACTGTTGCAAGGTATCGTCCAATTCCTGGATTTCAGACTGGGTGGTCTTGTCGTCGAATTCACCGCAGACGGAGTGGAGGAAATCGACGCCGCCGAATGTGCCGGTGACGATTGGATAGACCGGGTGACGTACTTCTCGAAGCTGAACGGCGGTGCGGCGGCCGACATGAGGAAAGACATCACGTTCACCCATCTCGATGAGAGCAAGTTCAACGTAATTTGAGTGAGCAGCATAGTCTTCCAAGCAGTGGCATCCCGTTCCGAGCAGCCGGAGCGCTTCGTAGAGGTCATTCTTGTTCTTGTTGCGTGCGTATTGTCGACCTAGCTCAATACTCCTCCCGAAAAGTTTTCTGACCAGACCAGCAGACGTGTCAATGCCCATGCCCTCGGAAGCAATGTAGTTCTTCAAGCCAGTTTGTGGGTTTATGGAGAGCTCTCGGCGTTCATCAACAGGGCCGCGGAGTCGGCGATCATACTGCCTGGCATCCTGGTTGTCCGCATAGTCCTTGGGGTTGCTAAGACTAGTTAGTAAATGTCTTGGCAAAGAAATCATGTATCTCACTCAATATGCTCCTCAGGTCGATAGCACCCGAGTCTCTGGCTGGTGACTTCGAACTCGCCTGAGCCATATCCGAAGGACATGAATCCCAGGACCCAAAGGACGATGCGGATCGCTTCGGCGCTGACATACTTGACAGTACCTACGTCGACCGCCTGGCTGTAATCGCGCAACCAATTACCAAAGTACACCTGGAGGCGGTCAATATACCCCCGATTTCTATGGGACAACAACTCACTCTCTTGACATCAAGCTTGCCGAACTTCTTGCCGCCCATGGCACGCGAGGCCACGATGGTTAGCAAGGTGTCTTCGAGATCACCATGTCGCCAATTCTGCCCCTCAATTTTCGAAGTTGATCCGATATTGCCCGCACCAAAAGCGTGAGCAGGTCTTGCCAGCAAAATGATGCCGACCACACAAACAAGGATGATGTGTGTCGAGGATAGCGCCATGCTGGACAGCAGCTGTTGAGATGATGTTTTTGTGTTTGGTTTCAGGTCAATCGATTCGTCAGGTAAGAACTGAAGCTCACGGCTCAACCGATGATGCCTCGAAGGAAAGAGAAACGACGACAAAGTTTGAGAGGGTTTGATAGCCTTGCAGAGAAGCACCTTAGAAGAGGAGACAGTGTGTTGCAAACAGTATGCGGGGCTGAAGATGAATTTGATGTCACTTAAGGAGGGGTCGAGCTCAATAACAAGTTGGCAGGTTGGCTTGTGAGGCCGAAGTGAAATTTCCCGCCGAATCTGGCCGGTCAGTGCCGCCGCTTTTGGAGGGGCTTCTCCCTGGGCCAAGACGCTCGGCTGCGCTTCAGCCTGATGAAATCGACTCATTCATGCTTCTACCACGTTTATCCGGGGGTTCCCAACCTCCTTTTGAAATGCATGGAGAATGAAAGCACTATCAAGATGTTCTCGCCAACACGCGAAGAAGATGAAGAAGAGCCTGAGGCGGAGGAGAGAAAAATTCGACAATGCAGAGAATGATAACGGAGCGATCAAGAAAAGTGAAACCCTGAAACAGATATTTGCAGAACTTAATTCATCGAAATATCAACACGAACAGGCAGAGAGCGACCCTCGAGTTGCCGAACAAGATGGCGTTCTACTGAGCCAGCGTTCTGGCTCTTTTTTATGTTCAGCCTGGAACATCGACTTCTCTGAATGTGTGACCGTGAAAGAGAAGGCAGAGTTTGTATGACACCTGCCTTCAACCGAGCATGACCTATAACACATGACATGTACGAGGTATAAAGGCAGAGGAGAGGGGATCTCCAGCTGTACTGGAACAGAGAGAGCTGAAATTTGGACGCAAGTCGATCCGGGTGGTCTTCAGTCAAGCTTTGCTCGCGGACCCGGACGACGTGTTCCATCAGTATCGCTGCCACGTGGAACCGTCCGTTGGGTCGGTACGCCATCGCCAGCTGATACTGCGACTCCAGCCGGTGAGGGTTGTCCTCGGTCAGGGTCTGCTCGTTGATCCCGACGACGTGCTCTAGAAGTGCAATCACCTTTTGGAATTGTCGAGACAGGTGCTTCTCGTTCAGTAGGGTAAGTCCTGATAATGCACGACTAATTTTAGATCTTCGTAGACGCTATATACGATGAAGCAGCTTTGGGGGGCACGGTCAGTGTGAAGGAGAGGGAGGAGAGTCGTTATCAAAGCGGTACACGCGGGTGCGTCGCACGTGAGCTCCGAGCAGTCTTCCCTCTTTACCAGCCCAGACCGAAGTCTATATAAACCCTCTTTCACGCTAGATGCGAGCTTCGTTTCAATGCGCATTGTGATTCAAGCACAATCCCAACCCAAAGTAGCACACTCAGTTGATACACTGTACCATTGCCAACGAAATATTCTGTGGGTTGTGAAAGGGGGTACTGGTACTTCAATGGTTCCATTTCTTCGTTCCATGCCAGCCAGGAAGGTAGCGATGAGATTCCTGGAAATGTTCTTGGCACGGATGCAAGGCTGGAATGTTATCATGATTCTCCAAGCTGCCTCGGATCCTCACGCCTGGCCGTCATCCAGTCGCCCAGAGGCTTCCAGATGGCAAGCTTCTCTGCCGGCGTCAGCGTGGCTGCCAGTCCACTGGTAGAGGTGGCCACAAATGTCTTTGCCCCGGACCATAGTAACTTTCCATCTTCCCAGATCCGTCCCAGTTGCATCTCCTCGTCTTGCCATCCCCAGTGGAAACTTGGATCATTGAACTTCTTCTGGCCTTTCTTTGCCATCCAAATGGCTTCCCAAATGCCTTTGCCAACTATCACCACAGCCTCCGGTCTGTAGATAGCGATCTTTTTATCGAGGATGGCAGCTCCTTCCTCCATCTCTTGCTTGCTCAAGCCATCGCCACTCCTGGTGGGCCGAGCACATATATTCGTATTTCCGATTTGGTACAGGTCCATCAAGTCTCGTGTCTCGGATGGGAGATGCTTCTTGGGTGTTATGCCCGATGTGTGAAGGAGGTGCCAGAACCGATTGGAGGGATGGGCGTACGCATGGCCGGTTGCGGCTGTCATGAGCCCGGGATTGAGACCGATACAGACCAGGGTCAGGCCAGGCCTTAGACTGTCCACCAGGTTGTTGACCGGGTTGTATGGATCTTTCAATGATCGCTCCTTGGTAGTGGTCCTTCGCTTTCTTGATCTAGGCGTCGTAGGTATCACATCGCCCGTCGAGGACTTGAACCCAGGATCATTTTCCTCTTGTTTCACAATACTCCCATTGTCTTCCTCGTTCTCATCATCTTGTCGCACGCGAGACCGTTTTCTTGGAGACGGAGAGGCAGAAGCATTCTTTGACTTGGAGAGAATGGATGGACGTGGACTAGAAAGTCGAGGGGATCGCCGGACCGTATCTGATTGTTTCAATGGGGAATATTTGAATTGCTCCATGCGAGCCTTGAAGGTGCTGCCTGCCCGCAAAGTCAGCTCTTGAACATCCAGACGAGTGCGACTCTCATACTTTGCTCCATGCTACGTCCGTCCAAACCAGCCTCTTCTGACCGCGTAGAAAGGTCATCCATCTCGGGTGTTGTATGAGCCATTGGCTTTCGACGCTGGTATTAGCGTCACACAACCAGCTGGTTTCGTGGTGTCACAGGCCAAGCCATTCTCGCCCCCTGCGAGACTAGCCAGTCCCTCGTCCTCGCCACAATGTCAAGCTGGCCGAAGACAAGTCCAATATATTGAACACTGTGAGTGCGCCTCCTGCTACTGACACGGAGGGACTGGAAAGGCACTGAATTTCTCGCCAGAATAGCTACGTCATATGGAACTAGCCTCTTTTGGTGTCGAGACTCTTGCTGCTCTGTTGGAGTAATATCCAACCAGCTGCAAGACTGAAATATCAGGAATCATCCCTTTCAGAACACGATGCGTCACGTTGTACAGTCATCTCATGTCCAACAGAACCGGGGCTAGAAGAATTTGATATGATCTCCCAATCACTACCTTCGGTGGCCCCGAATGAAACCTTTGGGATCATTGACCACGTCAATGTGCCCGACCATCAACAGCGATTGAGCGCACCACATCGTCTTTCAAACAAGCTGTGCCTAAGCCCTGTCAGCCATAGCGGCGGTCCTATAGTTTGACGTGGACAGCCTTGCACTGTGTCATGTCACGCAGTTCTTCAAAGCAGTCATCCCTTCCAATGCCAGATTGCTTGTATCCTCCGAATGGCATGCTGAAGAAGTGTGTCCCAACAGTATTTACCCAGACAGTTCCAGCTTCAATGCGACGTACCGCGGTCTGCATAGTCTTGATATCAGATGTGAAGACTGCACCTGTCAGACCATAGTCGACAGCATTCACATCCTCGAAGAGCTTTTCTTCGTCGTTCCACTTCAAGATGGACACGATAGGTCCAAATACCTCTTCGTTGGCGATTCGCATTTTCTGAGTGACTCCGGCAAAAATGGTGGGCTCGACAAAGTAGCCACCTTGCGTGTCCGTGCTGTCGGGGATTCTGCCACCTAATAGGAGACGGGCGCCATCATTTTTGCCAATTTCGACGTATTTCAACACCCGGGCCTGTGCTGCCTCACTAACCAATGCCCCCATTGTTGTCTTTGGATCGAGAGGGTTTCCGGGTCGGAACCTCTTCGCTATTTGGTCCTGGATTCGTTCCAAGATCTTGTCGTGGAGCGAATCGTGTAGGAAAACCCTCGAGGTCGAACCACAAGATTGCCCACACCAACCGAAATTCATTCCTGCGATGATAGCGTCCACGAGACGGTTATGATCCGCGTCAGGATAGGCAATCAGGGCATTCTTTCCCCCGAGCTCAAACGAGGTCAGTTTCAATGTATCTGCTGCAGCTTTCTGGATCGCCTTGCCGGTAGGCACACTACCGATAAGCGTGACCTTACTAACAAGTCGGTGTGTTGAAAGAGTCTTTCCACATTCGAGGCCACCGGATAAGATATTGAGGACTCCAGGGGGGAAGACGTCTTCCAGCAGCTCGGCCAAACGGAGTGCGGAGAGGGGTGCTTGTTCTGGGGCCTTGATCACCACTGTGTTGCCCATAGCAATGGGGGCTGCAAGCCGGTTGGCAGCAAACATAAGTGGATGGTTGGAGGCAACAATGCGCGTTACCACCCCCAGCGGCTCCCGCAGGGTGTAGTTGAAAGTTGAATCATCTAGATGAGTGGTCTCGCCTTGAACGGCTGGGATGAGGCCCGCAAACATGTCGACCGTGTCGGCGGCGAAAAGTGCATCGCCTCTCATCATGATGACGGGATTGCCCGTGTTGTAGGCATCGAGCAAGGCCAGCTCATCTGCATGTGTACGCAAGATGTCGGCCACCTTCCTGAGCTTCTTGCCCCGTTCCAAAGAAGGGACTGCTCTCCACGCCGGGAATGCTGCATGTGCCGCCTCTATAGCAGCGGCCGTGTCTTTCTCACCGGCGAAGGCGACTTTCCTGATGACTTTCCCGTCACCGGGACTGAATATCTCTCGATGGTCGCCATCGTGAGGCTCGTGCCATTTCCCGCCATAGAACAAGCCCCAGTGCTTTGGAAGACATTCGTCAATCTTTGGGAGGGACATGTCGGTGGAGCGTCACTGTGCTGGTTGTAAGTTCTCCTAAGACGTCTTCTTTGTTGGGCCTTTATAGTCCAAGTCTTGTACGGTCCACTCGATGCTCAATGCTGTGGTGTCAGCAATTTACGATCTGACGACAACTTTTCTGACGCATCTGTCCAGTCTGACAACCAGAGAGAGGTTGGACCGTGAAGCCTTTTGCGGTTCCCAGTTCGAATTTGAGTTTCCACTGTGCTTACATGTCCACATGTCCTTCTTTTATCTCTCAGCTCCTTCGAGTAGCAGATGGGGAGGGCAATTGGGGTGATCGACGAGGGGGAAACAAGGCGGGGATGCGGAGACTTTCTGCACGAGGCTCGAATAAGAACGAATCCCCTTTCCCATCCTCCTGATCTGCCGCACCGTCCTTGTGGAAGGGTACTCTCTAGCAGATCATCTTTCTGTGGTTGGCCTTCTAATTAGGTTCGGGTCTTTCTTTAGACAATCTCGCCCCGAGGAAAAAGCATGGACTTGAGCAGTGTCGAAGGACAGACACATCAGGCTGAGAGGCGCCTTCACCAGCCGTGCGGCTCACCCACAAATCCAGCAAGAACCACGAGGCTCAGGAGACTGTGTCACAGACCACTTTGACACATTGACAGTCGAGAGCATTGTCACTGAAGTCACCCCTCGACCTTCAAGGGCATGTTCACGATAGGAGGAGGTGCGAACCAACAGCGCAAGCCACCAGCTGAAAATCGGCCCCAACCTTATCCCGGACGTCTTGTATCATCAATAAACACTGAATGAGTGAGTGATGAAGAGAAGAGAGATATGAAGCTCCTCTTGCTAGTAAGTGAAAATTTCAACATCCCTTCTCCCAAAGATGCAAAAGTTCCCCTTGAGCTGCGCTCCTGAGTGCGCCAGGTAAAGCTAAAATATCTTGTTGCTTCGTGGCTGTTGACCTCGTCGTCTGGCCCCAATCCAATCAACGGCCACGACGTGTAGCCAAGGCTGTCTCTCTCGTGTTGAGCTGTCTGTTCTCCTGAAGTATACGGGACAAGTGGGAGACTTTCAGATGAGTTTGTCGTTTGATGTGGTTTCTCTCTCCCGCGCCAATGCCGACGACGGCACTTTGGTTTCAACATTTACGGTCTCCATGTTGGCGTATTGTCGTGTTTTCGTTGATGTATGGCTGGAATGTCGAACAGCCTCGCCCCCCTTGACAAGGAGTGTCCACCTCTCTAGCACCTTCCGTCACCGTCGTGACCTGCTGGCTGCAAGATCAAACTTGTACGGTTGATGGTGAGACGCCTCCGAACACAGAAAAACACATCTACCATTGTTCGTTGTCAGGTCACTGGTCGGCAGAGACGCTGGCCATTTCCCCTTCACGCACAATTAATTTATTGACAAGGCAGACTCGGACAGAGAGATGAAGTGGGATGAAAAAGGAGGAAAGAGAAAGTTCTTACCTACCATGGCTCATGAGGTCGATGGTATTGTTGAGGTATAAATATGTCTGAGTGTCTCTCGGGAAAGGGGAATCATGATCAGGAAAACAACAAAGCAATCAAGTCAGGAAGACACACCCAAGCAAAGCACAAAAACAATCGTTCAAAGTCATTCATTTATTTTACGCGTTTTCCCAGTCTTCGACACCGACCTGGTCATTTCGACACTCTCAGCATGCCTGCCGTCAAATCCACCATCCTCGCCATGCTGGCCGCCTCGGCCGCCGTATCTATGGCCCTCCCTTCTCCTCAAGCGGCGACAGACGACATCTCGGGCCTTGCGCCATTGCACATGGAAGTGCAGTGCGGGTGCTGGAACCTGTGCACGCTGGAAGCCTTGGGGGATACTTCTATTACTGGCTGTGACTCCGCTTGTGGTAAGCCAGCTCCCTCTCAGGAGACAGATGGGGTCTTTTCCTTCAGAGGACATTGTCTCTCTGCTTCTGGTCCAGTAACAACGCTGCTAACACATATATTCTCCTTGTGATTAGATCCACAATTTCTCTGCGAAACCATCGACGCACTGAGCGGAGGGCCGACCACGATCGCCGCAGCGGCAACTACCCCTTTGCCAGCAGCCTCGGCTTCAGCTACAGCTTTAGCCAGACGTGAGAGACCCCATAACGGCGCTCCTCCGCCCTTCAACCCCTTCGGACCCGGCGGCGAGCTCGAAACACTGTCAGAGTCGCAGCGAGCCAAAGCCAAAGCCAAGCGCGAGGTAGTGCAGCGAATGAACCGACCCATCATCGACCCCTGCCCTCAGGGTGTCGTCTGCGAAGCGTTCGCCAAACGCGAACCCGAACCACTCCCCCTTCCACTCCCGCCGATCGACCCCTTTGGCTGCCCGCACGGGCCGCTGCATTGCCCTCCCCCCGTGGGCGACGCGTGGAAACGTGCCGCCGCCGCCGCCGCTGCCCGTGATGTTGGTGAGTTCGAGTTCGAGAAGCGCCGGATCAATTGGGACTTGACTGTCAAGGGGTCGTGCAATGGGGGCGGATGTGGTGGCGAGGTGAGCGTTACCATACACTTTTAACGGGAAATCCGAGAGGGAGAGGGGAGGAGATGGATGGGAAGGGACGGGACTATGGGGGACTATCATAGTGCAACGAACAGGTCAATGGGTCATTCGTAGCAGGGACAGTGACAGTGACAGGGTGGTAGAGATGAGAAGGGGCACGGTGTGGACGCGTGCGAATGAAGGAGGGAGAGAGAGAGAGAATGTGTGTGTGTGTGTGTGTGTGTGTGTGTGCGTGTTTATTGTACGGTAGCTGGGCTACCAAACACCAAACACCAGGCACCAAGTAGAGCAGTCAGATCAGTGTCGAGTCAAATCGAGGCTTTTCGCTCAGACAGGGTACAGATCGCATTCTCGAGAGGGGTCGGAGTTGGTACAGAATATGAGGACTACTCGGTATACGTACGGTACTCGAGCAATGAAGATAATATATCGCGAAACACCGATATGTACTGGGAATTCTTTGATTTACCTACAGGTCCCGACCAAGAGAGGGCTCGGGAAACCAATCCAGACCAATTCCGATGTATCCGATCCATTCTGTTCTGTGAGGATTCTGTTGGACGGATATAGATCTGATTGTTGTCACTGTCAACAAATACCTACTCCGTCTCGTCTCGACTTGTCGTGTCGTGACATTGTGAGTCGTGACAACTTTGGGTTACAGTTACAGTTACAGTTACAGTTATAGTTATGGTTACGATTAGATTACACTTAGGGATACAGTTTGGGTTTGATGAGGTACCTAACCAGGTGCCTAGTAGGCTGAGCCGCGCACGCGCGCGCATAGTGCCCAACCATAAAAGAGATTGAGGTATTAGATATCCTCGTTTACGGTGGTATGTCGAAAATAGCAAATAGATGACAATATGCAATAAATTAATATATGCCACGTACCTAAAGGAAGGAGGGGAGTGCGGGAACCTGAGAATCCAGTACCTTGTACCTGGTACCTGATCAAGTGACAAGAGAGAGTGTAAGAGGTATTACACTACGAGTTTGATCCTTCAGCCTCAGCCTTGGCCCTTCGGTTGACTTGGTTCGATCCCACATCTCTGTGAGGTCTGAGGTCTGAGCTCTGGAATCCTGGGATCCTGGGATCCTTCCACTCTCGCCTCCACAAACCACAAACTCCTCCCCATTCCTACTCAAGTATAATACCTAGGCACGGAGAAGGAGGAACCGAATATTTAGTACTGGTACCGAGTACTCCGTACAAGCTACCTATGTGCCCTGTACTGTAGGTTCTCGGTACTTGTGAAACGAGTTCGTTAGGATTCGGGGGGAAACCTATTTCCTCATATGGATATAGTACTACGTATTAGTTACCTCCATACTCCATACTCCACAGGTATTTGTACAAGTACCGAGTATTTACTGTAGGCACTACATACCAAGTATGTACAAGTACCCTCAAACCAGAGAGGTCTGTCTGTCCTGGGACTCTTGGTGTGCTTGGCTGATTGTGATGCACCAAGCTTTGCCCAGCATCGCCCAGCATTGCCGAGGACTTGGTCCCGGGCACCAGAGGGAAGACATGGGCTTGGAGGCTTGGAGGAAGCTTGGTCATAACCACATACTATGTACACCCACCTCAAAGTCCCTCTTCTGACTACCAGTACCAGTACCAGTACCAGTACCGAGATTGAACGCAAGAAGTTGCTCAAAGAACCATTGATCATGGCGCCATGGTAGCGAGAGCGAGAGCGAGAGTGGTGGCCGTGGGATAGGTCCTGGCCAGGGCCCCAGGGGCGATGGTGATGGTGATGGTGGTGGTAGTGTGACCAAGACCCAACCCCAACCCCAACCCCAAAACCGCGATTCGATTGAGATGGAGATGGTGAGAGGACCGAACACCCAGTGCCGCAAGTAGTAGTCGCAGTACCTAGTCGCAGTCCTTGTCCCTAGTACGGGTAGTACCTCGTAGTCTGGCCGATCCCCCTTAGACTGCTCGACTCGGGCCTCGCTACATCCTCCTCATCTCACTTCATCTCATCTCGTTTTATTTCATCGACCCGCACGCCCATCCTCTGTCTGTCCGGTCCACCGAGTGAGTGGTCCCAAATTTCCGAGACGCCGTTTTAGCGGGCGAGCTGTTGGCGACTTGTTGTTGAGTCTGGCAATCTGTTGGTCAGGGACTACTCTATGTAGGTACTCAGTACTCGGTATTCTACCTCGTACTCCCCTCCCTACTCGTATTCGGTCCTCAGATTCTGCGACTCACTCGGCAGTAGAAACTCGTTCTCGTTGGTAGTCTGGCTGAACCAAGTGGCACCAGCGGCACCAACGGCACCAGCGCTGGTGGTGATAACAAGTAATTACTCATAAGTACTCACACACAACGAACATTAGGCGAGACGAGCACACGAGCAACCCCCTCTCCCCAGCCACAGCCACAATCCAATTTCCCCCGTCGCCCACGAAACCAGGCCAGGTCAAACTTTGGGGAAGCACGCATGTAAGCACAAGCAAAGCACTTCTGACTTCTGCGGGAGGGAGGCATTACCTATGTATGCACTACGTAGGTAGGGAAGGAGGCCATCAGAATACTACTGCGCAGAATATTGTATTCATGTGGTAGATAGATGAATAGATAGATGGTTGGGATCAATTTCGTCTGTCACGCCGGGTCCTATGTTATGGATATGCTTCGCAAGGCCGTCTCTCCCAAGGGCCCAAAAACAAAAAACGAAGAAAAAAAATAATCAAAATCCTCTTTCGTCATGTACTGCGGACTGAAAGTGAGGGGGCTTTTCCAACACATTTTGTATTGCGCACTATATTCCCCCGTGAAAACAAATGCTAGATGACAGACAAAAAATGAAACTCATTACTAAGATATATGCTTTCAAGACATTCACAGAGCAAAAGCAAGAGCAAGCAATCCAAGAGCTGCCGTGCCAGATGATACCATCACTGACGAGGCCGCTCCAGTGAATGACGACGTAGACACAGCGCTGGTCGTGCTAGATCCCTCGTTCTGCACTTGCGTGCCCGAGTTGTCGCTGCCAGACGTGCTGGTGCCTGAGCCAGGGCAGACCTTGCCCACATCCGACGGGACAGTGGGGAAGTTGTCAATAGCGTCCAAAATAGCAACAGCCATACCGCCAGAAAAGTGAGACTGGACGTGGCAATGGAGGAGCCAGGCACCAGGCGTGTTGACCTCGTACCGGAACACCATCCACGTGTTGTTGCCCTCGGCAGGGATGCTGGTGAAGCCGTCAACATAAGGAGGGTTGACCAGGTTGAATGGGTAGCCGGCCGTGATGGCATCGGCCACGTTGGTGAAGTTGAAGTCGCCCACACCGGCGCCAATCATGTAGAACTTGTTGGCGTGCTTGTGGATGGGATGCGGCTCAGCCACGGGGCCCGAAACCTTGATGATCAAGTCAACCCACTGGTTGGCCTTGGTCTCCAAGATCAAGTCGCTGGTGGGAATGCTCGACGGGCTCTGGAACAGAAGAGGGGGAGTGTCATCATCGCTGCTCATGTTGTACGAATCAGTGCCCGACAGTGTCCAGGCCCACGCCTCGGTAGGTTGAACGGGAGACTTCTGGATGTCCAGGATGAAGCTGACATCGGCGCTCGGCGCAGGGGTGTTGGCTGGGTAAGGAGCGGCGAGAGCATTGTTCAGGGGGACAATGGCAGTAGTGTTCTGGCCACCATAGTTCATCGCCGAGACACCAGCGGGCGCGTTGTTGCCACCCTTGTACGACAGGACACCAAAGCCCGAGATGACCTGGTTGATACCCTCGTTGGCAACACGGATCGTGTAGTCACCGGGGGTTTGGTCGAGCTTGACCAAGAACGAGACACGGTCACCGTTGCTGAGACTGATCTGGTCCACAACTTGAGGGACAATGTAGTTGCCGTTGATTTCGTAGACGTACAGCTTGTGGCTGTCGATGGTGACCTTGACCAACACAACACCGGCAGGGCTGATGAAGCTCATCGCAGCCCATCCATTGCTGGGGTCAACCGAGTAGGTGAAGTTCGAACCACCATAGCCAATGCAGGTGTCGTAAGCATCGGTAGGTAAAGCAGCCAGGTTCTGGAGCGCAAGGTACTGGCCACCTTGGATGGCAGCATTGTTAGGAGGAACACAGCCCTTGGCGGTCAGAGAGGAGCCGTTCAGCACTTGCGGTTCTTGAGGAGCAGCAGATGCGGTGAGGTCGGCAATAGATGGGCAGTACTGCGAGCCGAATCCGTTCAGGGTGATCGAGTCACTGCAGGCCCAGTCGACGTTTGCCGTCTGTTCAACCGCAAAGAACTCATCGAAGGTGTATCGGTTCCAGTCGGTGACAAAGACGGGCTCAACGTTGAGCGCAGCCTTGGTGATGGCATCCACATCAGAGCTGCTGATCTGGCTGAAGGGCGTCTCAGCATCATCCGCTGGAGCAATCAGAATGGCACCGTAGAGACCGTCCATCATCTGTCCCTTGTAATGAGCATGGTAGAAGTAGTTGCCCGACTCGGTCGCGGTCCATTGATACATGTAGCTGGTACCAGGTTGGATCGAGTATTGGCTGACACCGGGCACACCGTCGGCCCATGGCGTACCATTTTGACGAATACCGTGGAAGTGGATGCCAGTGGCATTAGGCATGTTGTTGTTGACGACAAAGTCGACACAGTCCCCAACCTTCATCTTCAAGGGAGGACCGGGTAGGGAGCCGTTGGTCAGGATGGCATTTCTGGAGATGCCTTTGCTGGGGTCTGTGGGCGCCCAAGTGAGGTCAATAGTGAATGGAATGCATTTGGACGACGAGGCGCAGACTGAGCTGTCGCCGGAGCCACCATCGGCGGCGACGGATTGGATCGAGGAAACGAGTGTGAGGGCGGCGACAGCCTTGAGAAGGCGTGTGAACGCCATTATTACCTATAGACAAGAGGGCAACGAAGAAAGAAAGACTGCGGCCGGACAGCTATGTAGTAGGAGAGGGTTAGTAGAACACAAGAAAACCAAGCGAAGCCCAAGGGAAGACGACCAAGTCTTATGAAGGAACAAGACATCGCAAGCACCAACCCAAGACCACCAAGCACCATGCCACTCACCAGGGCTGATTTCCCCGAGGTGGCTTCAGATTGGAAGGACCACAGTAATGCCAGCCATCCTGGAACAGATACGGCGTCGACAAGGTTTGGGTGTCTGGGGCGCAAGAGCCTCCTGGTGCCTTTTTCAGCCATATACGCTTACCGTATTCGCGATGGCGGGATCCTCCCTATCCACTCGGATGGAGTCTGATCAGCCTCTCCCCATTTATCAACAAACATCCCCCCAGCCTCAGGCGCTATTGGGCGGTGACATCCTCCGTGCTAGAGTAAGATGTCAGCTTCGGCGACTGCCTGCTCGGAGTGCATGTGCGTTCAGGAATTGCATACGCGAGCGGACAATTGCTGCATGATCGGCCAATGGTCACAAAGTCGGTCAACCAGAGAGCCCTGTCAGAAACCACACCCAATACCGAGTCGACCATGAGCCATCAGGCGAGCTCATTTGACTGAGATTGCGAACAGGGAAGGTTGCCCCCCCTTCAAACCTGTCCATGACTTTGTCAGTTGGCGGCCACATGAATCTGGCCAAGCTCATGCACGAAAGAGGGGACCGTTGAAGTGGTAATTCAATCAGATGTGACCGTGTGATCCATGCGCAGAGGCTGAACCCCAGCTGCCACAAGGCCGCAGGGTCCCACCACCCCCGGGGGTGCCCACTGGCCCTTGGATTTGGTTCGTGCCCTGTTACGTGACAGTGGACGCATTCAGAAATGGACACTCCACCACCAACCAAGCTAGAGGTCACCATGCCATCTTAGCGCCGTTAAGCATCGGGGGCTAGAAGCTGGATGACCCTTCAGCTACTGCTGCGCCCGCCCATCCCACTTTTGGCCGGGTTTTTGGCTGTCTTTTTGTTTTGGTCGTGCCCTAGCCTAATGGAGCCCGTCCCTGGGGGTAAACAGACCACTGCGAGAGAAAACCAGGGGGGAAAACTCATGAGGCGTGGACTGATGAATCGCGCAGACACATCGCGATCATGGCTTGCTTATTCGCTTGTAATCGGCTGCCTTATGTTCGGAAGGATTCATGGATGTTCTTGGGGTCCAGCTCTTGAATCCCGTGGGAGGCAGTCTCGTATGTGAGCAGAGGCCTAAACCAGGTGGCGAGGAGAATTATTCTCGGGACCAAGCAATAACTGGAACTGTTCTAAAAGAGCTTGCATGCAGTAGAGTATTGCCACCATTTCAGGTACAGCCGTGCTCGGACCGCCTTGCGCTTTTCGAGTGTGAGTGGACTGAAACTGCAAAACTGGGCCACCAGATGGCAGGTGAGCAACGATTGACCTAAAAATAATCCCTTCCGGTTAGTGTCTTGAGATTTTTTAAACTTGTATTCGTGGGAAAAGATGGGATCCAGTAACAGAAACAGGGAATCCCAAAACGCGGGAAGTACCACTTGGTGAGGAACAAGACGATCCAAGGTTCGCAACCCTTTTTTGGAGCTTGTATTTGGCAGACGGTAGAGCCAACCTCCTCACTGGGCCAACCATGCCCTGGCGAAAGGCTACAGCAAATTGAAACAAACACACAAATAGCCCTTCTGGGACGCGTTGTTGGTCTAGTGTGGTCCTCGCTCTTTCTGGCTCGGAACTTGCGATCATCATGATGTAGCATCTTCCTTTTTGGACGTTATGTGTATCGATATGAGGACGGTGAGAGAGGCTGGGATGTAATGGAGGAGGCCGGGGAGGATTATTGGGGACTGGGTCTGCCGGAAAGAGTGGGAGGTTGGGGGCATGCAATGACAGCAATGGCTGATGATAGGCGTCGATGGCTTGCGGAAAATCGTTGTTTCTCACACGTGGCTGCGGTGGTTGACGAGGTTGACGAAGTTCTGGAGCTTCTGGTGGTTTCAGATGCACCTCAACACCTGCGCAGCTACGTCAGGCTGGCCCCGTGTCTAGGCAATTATCGAAAGGGTATTGAACTCTTTTGGTAGGGGTACTACTGTACGAGTACTCGGTACTGACGGGTGAGCCGGAGTGGTGAGTTGACACGAGTGAGAGCTAAGGTGTGAGGCTCTCGCTTGTGCAAGTGATGGTGGTGCTCCTTTTCCGCAGTTTCGCTACTGCTTCGACTGTTACGCCCCAGAAACCCTCAACTACGCTCACGGTCAGGCTGTGCATTCGCCCATGCGAGAGATTTTTCGCCTCCGTACTTCCACAGTTCCACGCTTCTATCCGCTGTTCCGTCGCCCATATTGTCGTTTACTCTTCCTTACGTACAAAGGACAAAATGCCTTTCTCTTCTGTACCCCTTCTCGACAGTCAGACTAACTACGGACCTCGATCCCTTCCTTTACGGTCATGTTCAGGCCCGTCGACTAGCAAAGCGCGCCCGCTTCCTTTCTCCCCCTCCTCCTTATCCACCGAGCCATCAAGCGAAGCCTTGTGTTTGTGCATGTCCTATCTGCAAAGTTATCGTAAAGAGCCAACCATCTTGGGCATTTTGTCTCTTGCGTGATCAACGCCTCGTTTGCGCCCGTGCGCCCGGGCCCAGTAATCGTTTATCACCTCCACCATGCCGGCCCCTTTGATCCAGAATGCCATCACCAGCATCACCGTGTGCCTGACCCTCCTAGCTTCGCTCCAATCGCAGTCCTCGTCACAATCTTTTCGCGCTTCGGTGTCCGCTGCAGCGGTTGGTCCTGCAGTCGCTTCCAACTTTCCTGACCCAGGCCTCGCTTTGGACACCAGCAGTGGCTTCGAGACTTGGTATGCCTTCAGTACTCAGACCGGCAAGATCAACGTGCAACTTGCCTCCTCACCGGACTTTTCGACCTGGAAGCTGCATGAAGGCTACGATGCTCTACCCACGACGCCCAATTGGGCACGTCGGTCTCCTCATGCTGGTGTCTGGGCCCCTGACGTGAACCAGCGCCTGGACGGATCGTGGGTCATGTATTTTGCGGCCGTAGGGCGGACACATCCACAGAAGCATTGCATTGGTGCTGCCACCTCTCCCAATGTGACAGGGCCTTACATTCCTCTCGACGATCCCATCGTGTGCGATCTGCCTCAAGGCGGTAACATCGATCCAAATCTCTTCATCGATCCCATCAACAACGAGAACTACCTGGTCTACAAAACGGATGGAAACGCCATTGGACATGGTGGTGCTTGTGGCAATACCGAAAACCCTGTTGTGCCGACTCCACTGTATCTTCAATTGATGGACCCCCAAGACCTTGTCACACCAATCGGCAAGCCTGTCTACTTGTTCTCAAACGCCAACAGTTTCAGAGAAGACGGCCCGAACGTCGAACGGCCATGTATGGTCTACCGGAACTCAACCTACTATCTCCTGTATAACGCCCACTGTTTCACCAGTCTGCAATACCGCATCGACTATGTCAGCTGTAAGGTTGGTGTTGACACGCATACCGGTATATTGGGTTGTGACTGGGACGCCCTAAAGACGAAGCAGCAGACCTCCAAGGACCACACGCTGCTCCAGACCGGCGACGTCGTGTCTGGTACCCAACTCTACGCTCCAGGCAGTATGGACGTCAGTCCCGACCAGCGCAGAGTGGTCTTTCACGGTGATGTCAACTTGGACTGGTTCAAGCCTCATCATCCTCAGACCGTCCATCGTGACAGTGCCATGTTTGCGGGCGAGATTGACTTTGTCAAGTCAGAACTCCATATCACTGAGCTTCTCTGACGGCAGGCCCGTGACGAACCTGCAAACGAGAGACTTTTTCCTGGTGGCCACGTGAGATGACACAAGATGACGCGAGATGAAACGATATGACAGATCCGATGGTAACAACCTTTTAAAGGCCTCCAAGGCACGGCTCATCCTTTCTCCACTTCCTGCAGGAAGGCACCAGTTTCCCTTTCCACGAGTATTCGATGCTCGTTCATCCTTCGCGATCCCACGGTCAAAGTCCATGATTACACCACCAAACCACATTCTGCGTTTTCATTGCTATACTCGAGTTTGAGATTTTCAGAGAGCGGCCGCACGGACCGCTCTTACCTGCTGCGCTCAAATTGGGTTGGGGCGTCTTCAGGCCACACGCCTCAAAGCCAAGCAAACCCCAAAAATCCTTCCAGACGGTACATAGAGGGCTGCGCGCTCCCTCAGTCAGTGTCAGATTTCATCTTCGCGTCCTTATTTTCCGGTCTACATAGACCCATACGACCACCAATTTACAGCGTCGGCGTCCAGGTTCCCATTCCATCCTTTGATTATGCGAATATTACTATATGATGACGGACAGTTACTACCTCCTTTCGACTTGTACTACATGATGTGGGATGTTTGAGTGATCAATCTTATTGCTAATGCATTTAGAGAGGAGCGAGGTTTGGAGTCAATGGACGAGTGCCAGAGTTGATCATTGGATTTATGTTATTAGAGGATACATCCGGTCCGAGTGAGTCTGATAGATATGGACATGGCCTAGACGGAGAATATATATTGATGTATAGAATCAATCAATTTCAAAGAGGTAAAAGGTTCTGAAACGCCTGGTAGGAGAGGAAGACAACGACTGGAGAAAAGGTGTCAGGTCGATGAGTGACGTGTAGAGAGTTTCCCTTTCTAACTTATCTTCTCGTCGTATATAGTATATGGCATGGACCACGGACCATGTACCACGTCGCATATGTCTCTCATCTTGTCATCTTGTCGTCCTGTCACATTGTCGACTGTCTCGGCCTCTCACCTCGTTGATCACGGGACCAGACGAGTGATGTGTGATGTGTACACGTCCGTCTCCCTTTTCTCCTTTTCCGTGCGTTATCAGGGTAGAAGGTCGTCCAAGTAAACGTCCAACCAAGCCTTTCTGCTGTGTGCCCTCCTGTTGATCCCT